CCGAAAAAAACAAATATTCTTTTTTTTTTTTTTTTGATCTCATAGAATTATTTTTAACAATCAATAAACAAAAAAACTAGGAAGACACTTGAGAAGTAATTTAGTTTTTTTAATGGCATTTGTCTATTTTTAAGTTTATTTTATGATCTTTCGATTGTCTGTATTCGAATAGTTATTCTTTATATTATAGAAACGAAATTATTGATCAAGTAATGCGTACAACCAACACATGTTCTTCTGTTTTTTTTCGAGCGTTTTAAGTATTATTAATAATAGCTGATTCTATTTTCTGAAGTATCATTCAATTTTATTTGATATTATATAAGTTTTTTATGAATATTAGATGATGGAATGTTTATTACATATATTAATATTATAATCAAATAATTTAACATTTTTTTTTTGTTTTTAAAATAACACACAATATTCTATCAATTAACTAGAAAATATATATTAATTCAAATAATATTTGCTTGTTTTTAAAAATAGTATATTATTAAAAATTGGTTGAAATTAACTTTTTTGTTTTGTTTTTCTTTTAGTCCAACCGGTCATAATTATGTTCATTCGGAAAGAGATGAATATAATAATCATCATTATTCAATAAGTAGTAAAAGTCCAATAGTATCAAGAAAAACTAATGAAGAAAATATTTTATTAAATGATGATAATGAACAACCAAACATTCCATTATCATCATCAAAAGTAAAATGGTTTGACGCTGTACGAACAGTAACACAATTAAATCAAGTAAGAAAAAAAAAGAAACAAATGTTGATTAGAAATATGTGCATTCACAGAGAAAATATTTTCATTATGCTAGATTTACGTATATGACCTTTGTTTTACGGCATTTTTTTTTCTATTAACTTCTACCAGATTTGATTTCATATATCACATAACGTTGTTGAATCTATCGTAAATATACTGTTTTTGTATTCTAAGTATAAATTCTTTAATATAATTGTTTATTTAACATATGATATTCTTATTTTATTTATTCAAATGATAGAAAAGATTATCTCTTAAAAAATTCTAATCTCATTAATTATTTTTAATTTAACATATCAATAAAATATTAATTTTCTTTGAAGAAAAAGAAAAAAAGAAGAATAAATCTTTTTCTTCTTTAATATAACGTTAAAAGTAAAAGAAGATATATCATTAGTTTAGAAAAAACAATAGGTTTTTTTAATCCCACCATGATATTTTTCTAGTTCATATAAAAGAATTGTTTATGCGAAGAAGTGCGCCCGCAGCTGTGTATATATAATAATCAAAGTGAGATATATTTTCTTGTTATTGTGTCTTATCGTGTACACGATTCTGTTGAGTTTTTTCGTCTCGTTATAAAACTTCAATGAAATAATTATAGTTATTCCTTGTTTTTTTTTTGTAACAGCTGCTGCTTTTTTTTTTTCTAAACTGAAAACAGTAAGAGAAAATAAAAAAAACATTTATTTTCTGTTTATCATTCGATGGGTAAATATTCGAAATAGCATTCTTACAA